AGTTTGTTGACTTTGCCGGAATGGCAGCTGACTCCTCCCCTCATGTATAAAAGTTGTTGTAATTGAGGGACTAGAGAAAAGAAGAATAACATACTGTACTCACTGCTTAACTGCGTTTCTAGATCACGCTCATTTCAGGTAAATTTACATACAGTGTGAAGATACGAGCATAATAAAGATCGCTAGCATTAGCATGCTAACACAACAATGCAGCACGAGTTGTTTTGGTTTCATGCTGGTGCTTAAGAGCGACATCTGCTGGATCAAAAAATCGCATATAAAGCCTTTAAAATCATGTAACGCTACTCTTTAGGTTTCATACACTGACCACATGAACAGTGAATAAATCATCTGACAAGTTTCAGACTAAGGCACGACATTAACGCCACTGTGATGTTTCGCCTTCAATCTGAGAGTGTCATGTATTGAGGGGATGCAGTAATCCCCCCTCTGTACCGTCTTCAGAGGTAGTGACAAAGAAGAGACGGGACAGAGCAGTGTGTGTGTGTGTGTGTGTGTGTGTGTGTGTGTGCAAATCTGACTGTGTGTGTGTATGTTGAACCGTTTTTTACAGCCCCCTGCTGGACAGCAGAAAGAATGCAGGATGAAGATGTTTAATCTAAACGATTCGTCTCTCATGACCTCTGAGGGACGAACACTTTATTATTGTAGATTTAATGAACACTGCAGCCTCCAGGGGGCGCTACTGAGACTGCTGTTGCAACTTTCTGATGCTGACACACGTACACACACATAAACACACACACACAGGCACACACACACAGACACACATAAACACACACAGACACACACACACACACACACACACACACACACACACACACACACACACACACACACACACACACACACAGGCACTCACAGAGACACACACACACACACACACACACGCCAACATACACACACACACAAACACACACGTACACATACACACACAAATAAATACAGACACACACACAGACACACACACACACACTCACACACACATGTTCGTCTACATTAAAAAGATAAATCTGCATGTTCACTGAGTTTAAAGACCTCTCTGTTTCTGCTCCACCTGCAGGGACGTTTCTGCAGCCACATGATCGCTCCTCTTGTTATTTGGCGTTTAATTAAATTACACCGGGTGGCGAATGAGTCAGTGTTGTCAAAAACGGCATAAAAAAGACAAAGTGGCGAAAAACAACATCATAAACAACAACACGAGCCGCAGCAGCAGCACGGGGAGAGAGAGAGGAGACGCTGCCAGCTTCAGTTTCTAGACAGACGGAGCGTCTGGCCTTTAGCTGAACACACACACACACGGACGCATGCACGCACGCACAAACACACACACACAAACACACAAACACACACAACAGGTATGCATTTTTAGGGAAATGTGATCTGACTGGAGATACAGAAATGAAACGACAGAAATATCTGAATTTAAAAGATGTTCGTTTTTTTTTATCTCATCTTAACTGTGTTTCAAAATATTAAAAATCTTTTTCTAACAATGATTTTAAATTAAAATGTGATTCAACTTTGTTCACTATTTATTTACTTAAAGGAGCAGTATGCAACTCTGACACCTAGTGGTTAAAATGGGTACTGCAGTCTAAATTCTAAACATTGTAGAGAGCTGTCTCCCCCCTCCTCTCTAGAGTGGATGCTCACACAGGTCACCATGTGGTGAACACTGAAGCTTCAGTGTTTATCCAGCTCTGCATCAGTCTGTAAACCTTTCTGTGTTCTAACCTCTCTCCATTTTTCAAAAGCATCTCCAATATTGATCCTAGTTTGAGCACGTTTCTGCTCGTGGAGCTTATTAGAAACATGCAGAGGCTTTTTAGGTCGGGTACAATCACTTCTATCTGAACCACTTCTCTTGCCCGCTTCCATCGCTGCAACACCTGTTGACCTGATAACTGCTCTCATATCTGGCAAACCGAGGGGCGTCCAAAACGGCCGTGTGGGGGTGCCTTAAAACCGCCTACCTTCTCTGGTCCAAACAAATCCGGAGCATTCAGGACCAGAATCTTAAGTTAGAAGGAGGACATACTGGCTGCTGCATTGTTGTCAGAGAAGCCAGCACTTCAACATAGCATGTTTCCTTAAAGTCTGATCATACAGTAAGGTCACTTTATCATTTCACTCACTACACACCTCACTGATTGGACCTTTACATTTTGTATTTTAATGTATCCTCTTAAAATTAATTAATAGACCTGAAGGTTTTATTTTGCTGACCGAGGACAAAAAGAGTTCAGGCTGATTAAAGGTCAGAGCTGCAGCTTTAACACACACACGTCACTAAACATATTTTACTAATAATAAAACACACAAACATCCACCTGAAAGCATCAGCGATAATATCAGTGAAATTTAACACACACACAGATGGAGGATGAGAGGACATGCCAGACTCACCAGTGGTCGTGCGGCATTGTTGCGTTGCTGTCGGTTACTGAGCATCTCGCTCAACAAGACTACAGCAGCACTCCTCTCTCTCTCTCTCTCTCTATCTCTCTCTGTTATACACACACACACACACACACACACACACAAACACACACACACACGCTCCCTCCATTTCACTCGCTCTCTCTCTCATAACACCGGGGACCATCAGGATTATTGCGCCTCAGAGAAAGAAAGAGAGAAAGAGAGAGGGGGGGAGCGGGAGAGAGAGAGTCGTCGCCGCAACAGTGTTAATTTGTACACAGTGGAGGAATGCAGTTCACACTAATGAGACGCTCCAAAAATAAACAAAATGACCCGTTTACCTTAAAGGGACATCGCCCTCTAGTGGCCAGAAAGACTGTTAGAGCTAAAGGCTAAAGAGCTACGGGCAAATTAGAGTCACCAGTTAACCTAACGAGCATGTCTTTGGACTGTAGGAGGAAGCCGGAGTACCTGGAGAGAACCAACACATGCACAGGGAGAACATGCAGACTCCACACAGAGAGGCTCCTGACAGACGGGGATCTGAACCAGGAACCTCCTCGCTGTGAGGGGGACAGCGCTAACCACTGCACCAACATGCAAACACCTGTTAGTAATTATAACCTTCAATAATATGAAAAGACGTTAGTTCAGATAGAATACATCACGTCGATCATGAAGTATCGATCTGATAAAAGGTCGTCACGTGCAGACATGTTGACAAACAGCTGATAAATAGAAACAATATTACAGCAACAATCAATGAGAGCACAGCATGCACGCCGACTGAAGTAAACAATTACAACCAACATAAAAACTGAAGATGGGGGAGCAGGTAGTGGCCCAGTGTACGGAGGGTATAGTCCTCTAAGTGGGCAGCCAGGGTTCGAATCCGAATAAATTTGTTTAAATCTGAACACGAGAGAAACATTACAAAAATCCAGATTAACAACAAAACAGCTCTTTTAACATTTTATTCAATAGTTGGGAAATTTAATTTTTTATACACACGATGCCGAAGTGTGAGTGATGTGATCGAACAAACAGCGGGGGCCGTCGAGGAACAGCCAAGAGAGGGAGAGAGAGCGGGCGAGCGACATAAAGGATGTGTAGAGCGAGAGATTTGATGGACGCATGATAAAATGTGAATCAGAAGAAAAAGTGCCGCAGGAAAAAAGAAGCAGAAAATCCCGTCAGAGAGACAGGTCACCTTCCTTCAGGCACGCACACACACACACACACACACACACACACACACACACACACTCAGTCACATGTGTGTCCTCATGTCCATCATGTAACAGAAATGTGTGACTGCCTGCACATATAGACTGCTTGTGTGTGGTTACAGGAGGAGAGCCTGCAGGTCTGTCGTCATTAATTAAAATATTACTTTCATAATCATGTGGAATAATCATCCAGTCAGATTTGAAAATAAACATACAATATGTAGAAAACTAAAATATCAGAATGAATAAAAAATGGACTTAGCCTATGTATATATGTCCTGTCCATGTAAACACGGCTCTGACAACAACACAGCCAGCGAGACTCGAGCTTCTGACTCATTGTAGACAGACAGTCATGACTCAGAGAGACATTTATACAGGATAGACTTGATTTCTGATATATTCATGTGGGACATGTTGCACATTCTGCCTTTAAGATGTCGGTGTGTTTGACCCAAAGTCAAAGACACATTCAGCTTTCCAGGGCTGAGAAATTAAGCCAACTCAGAAGTACCAAAAAGGATGCAGTTCCTCCAGTGTCCACTAGAGTCTGTCTCCTGCAGTGAGTCAGTCCCCATAGAGCCCCAGGATAAAATGTCCAACTTTACAGCCGCAGTTCCTCCAGTGTCCACTAGAGTCTGTCTCCTGCAGTGAGTCAGTCCCCATAGAGCCCCATGTTAAAATGTCCAACTTTACAGCTGCAGTTCCTCCAGTGTCCACTAGATTCTGTCTCCTGCAGTGAGTCAGTCCCCATAGAGCCCCATGTTAAAATGTCCAACTTTACAGCTGCAGTTCCTCCAGTGTCCACTAGAGTCTGTCTCCTGCTCCTCTCTAGGGCTCATTTCTCTCTTCAACTGTACGGGCTGAATGTTTCTACAACTCACCTGTTTACATTATATTAAGGCTTAAAGTGATGTAGGATTAGGGGGCGTGGCCTCTTTGAGTGACAAATGGGAGCTGCTAGTGCTCTGCTAGGTGTCCCCTTCAGCTAATTCAGTCCCTGACCTTTGACCTCTGGGCTGTGTTTTGCTGTTGGAGCCTTTTGGAGATTAGTTCATGTAAATATCAGATTAATAATCTGTTTCTCTGGGAGCTTTATTTCAGACCGTCCAACATATCTGAGCTTCACCTTTTACAACCAGAGAACATTAGAACTTTATTTTATTTACATGTTAGCAACAATTAGCAGCTAATCTGAGTCTGTGAGAACCAAACATGGACTGTTAGCTCGCTCACTGTTTGTCATACTTTTTTTTATTTATGGCTCTGTGTTTGCCGTGTTTTTGTTTGTGAAGCAAGAGAAAAATCAGAGGAGTTACTCACCGAGCTCTCAGAGCGCTGACTGTAGATTTATCAATCCTGCAGCACACACACACACACACACACACACACACACACACACACACACACACACAGGTAGAGAGAGAGAGAGAGAGAGAGAGAGAGAGAGATGTTAACATATGTAGCACTCAAACACTCTTAGAACAAGAGGAACATTAAAACATAACTGAGGCGAGGAGAAAGAGATTTACATCTGAATACTCTATTAACCTTAGTGACCGCGTGTGTGTTAGTGTGTGTCTGTGTTAGTGTGTGTTTGTTACTGTGGGTGTGTGTGTGTGTTGGTGTCTGTCTGTGTGTTTGTGTGTGTGTGTCTGTGTGTGCGTGTGTGTTAGTGTGTGTGTATGTGTGTGTGAGCGTGACAGAGGTAGGTGTGATCTCAGAGGTTCACAGCAATAAAACCCTTTTTATTAAAGTGCTGCAGCAGTAAATCACACATTTACATCTCAAACACACTCACACACCGTACACACACTCTGTCTCACACAAACACACACCGTGTGCGTCAATTAAAGGTCCCATATTATGATTTTTCTGGTTTTATATGCCCTTTAGTGTGTTTTCCAAGTGTCCTGTGCATGTTTAGGCACATCTATGTGCAAAAATTCAAAGTCCGCGGAAACGCAGCTTCTCCTGCCTCCTCCTGTTAGCTGTAACATTAGCTGCATGTAATGTTCGGTTCTATCCCCCCTCAATAAAAATTTGTCAGTCCGACGTCATTGTCAGTGTGAGATCACTGATCTAAGCCCATTGGCTCATTGTGGCAAGCCCTGCAGCTCATGTTGAAATTTCCGAGACGCGTGCTGAGCAACTGACCAATAACAACAGAGTGGATCGGCAGACCAATCAGAGCAGACTTGGCTCACGTGGGGTCTAACAGTGTGGGCTCAACAGAGAGTAGCTGACTGACTCAGAGCTTTTTTCAGACTTTAGCTATTGTGAACGTACAAAGGTAGGAACATAGATTAAATATACGAACCCCAAAAAGGGCAGAATATGGGCTCTTTAAAGATGCACGATATACAGAGTATCTGTTCAAATCATTTATTGGGCGATATATAGAAATCTTTATAATTTCTCATTATTCCAATAATGACATTTTAACCGATAATAACGGCGTTCATTTAATTATAAAAGCCTACAAATTCTGACACGGTAGGTGGCAGTATGCAAGCTGCCATTGAATACAGAGAAGAGCAGTCGCAGCGACGCTTACACAGCGTCACCAGCGTGGATGTTTCTCACCATGTCGGAGCAGAATAACACGACGAGGATTCAGAAGTTCAGAGAACAAAGTGAGGTTGAATATTTAACTCACTTGAAAAAGGAGATGAGTAGAAGAAAAAGGGAAACAACTTTAAGAGGGCAAGAGGATAAAACAAGAGGAGGAGCGAGGATGAAAGAAGTGGAGAGGTGCAGAGGAGAGAGGGGGAGAAATATAAGACGGAGAGGAGAAAAGGAGATGGGAATGAAAAGGAAACTTTAAAAGAAACAGACGGAGGAGGAGGAGAGAAAGTGATGTAGAAATGGAAAAAGAGAGAGAGAGAGAGAGAGAGAGTGATCGACCATCGAGCTAAAAGCTTGTCTGTATGATGACTCTGTAAAAACTCAACTCCCTCTGGTCATAAATAACACATTTACACACACACACACACACACACACACACACACACACACACACACACACACACACACACACACACACACACACACAGACAGACAGAAAAACACACACACACACACACACACACACACACACACACACACACACAGAAACACACACACAGACAGACAGAAAAACACACACACACACACACAGAAACACACACACACACACACACACACACACACACACTCCTGGGTGTGTTGGCTGGAGGAGACTGAAGATATACTCCCAGAATCCACGAGCGAAACCAAGATGGCCGACAGCAATGAAACTACATCTCGGTGTGTCTGACTGTCCTCTGAGGTCGTTAAAACATCACGAACGTCAGTAGAAATGTTTGTAAACATTCAAACTGGGCCCCTCCTCCTGGGCTCATCGCCCCCAGAAACTCACCCTCACTGCAGGATGTAGTGTGTATGTTTACTGCTTGTAGCTACACTGCGAACTAACGCACGCTAGCTCAAGCTAACAGCCGGTGTTTGTCACCTGCAAGTAGACCAACTCCACGTCCACGAGTAAAAGACAACACAAGGTTCACCCTCGTTTTACAACAAGCTTTATCCACTTGGTGTTTCTCCTCACTCTGATTATATTTTCTCTTCTTTGCTGCTACGGCCACATCCGTCATACACAGTCACCACCACACATGTATGGAGGCCCAGAAGGGACGATGGAGCAGCTTCACCTTAGGAGAAGTCTGTGTTTTATTTTGAAGGAGACAGCGACTGACTTTGTCTATAAAGGAGCAATATGTAACTCTGACTCACTCTGCAGTCCAAATTCTAAACATTGTAGAGAGCTGTCTCCCCCCTCCTCTCTAGAGTCGATGCTCACACAGGTTGCCATGTGGTGGACACTGAAGCTTCAGTGTTTATCCAGCTCTGCATCAGTCTGTAAACCTTTCTGTGTTCTAACCTCTCTCCATTTTTCAAAAGCATCTCCAATATTGATTCTAGTTTGAGCACGTTTCTGCTCGTGGAGCTTATTAGAAACATGCAGAGGCTTTTTAGGTCGGGTACAATCACTTCTATCTGAACCACTTCTCTTGCCCGCTTCCATCACTGCAACACCTGTTGACCTGATAACTGCTCTCATATATGGCAAACTGAGGGGCGTCCAAAACGGCCGTGTGGGGGTGCCTTCAAACCGCCTACCTACTCTGGTCCAAACAAATCCAGAGCATTCAGGACCAGAATCTAAAGTTAGAAGGAGGACATACTGGCTGCTGCATTGTTGTCAGAGAAGCCAGCACTTCAACATAGCATGTTTCCTTAATGTCTGATCATATAGTAAGGTCACTTTATCATTTCACTCACTACACATCTTACTGGTTGATCCTTTAACAGTCTTCATCTCTGTTTTAACCTCCTTATAAATATATTTAATAACCAAATTAAATTGAATAAGAATATCAGAAGAATTTAAGAGATTAATGTTAAAAGTGCTGATAAGACACTTTTTCTGTCCTCATGTCTCAACATATCGAGGAATGAAGCTCTGAGCTGAAGGAGGGAGGAGGGAGGAGGGGGAGAAGGGTGGAGGAGGTGAGGAGGGGGAGAAGGGAGGAGGTGAGTGGAGGTTTAATATAAAGTGTTGCTGCAGACGCCCTGAAGCTGCTGCTGCATTATTAAATACTGCAACTCTATTAGTGGAATGATGTAAACACTGAGAAGATGGAGAACTGTGACGCTAAACCATCTGTTTCCTTATCATAACAGAGGAGGAGAAACAAGGGAGGAGGAAGAGGAGGGAGGGAGGAGGTACAGATGGAGAGAAACTGCCCCGGGGAGTGAAGAGGAGACATTAAAGACAGAACATACTGGAAGGAAATTAGATGGTATATAAGGAAGGAAAGAAGGCATAAGGAGAAAATGTAGCTTAAGAAGGAAGGAAGGATGGAGTGGTGGACAGAAAAGGATGCAGCAAAGAGAAAAGGACGTATGGAAGGATGAGGAGATGGTGTGAAAGGGAATAAGGATGTAAGGAAAGAGGAACAGTTGGTGAAGGAGAAAAGACAGTAAGACTTCATAGAAGGAAAGAATGAGTGAAGGATGTAAGGACGTATGGCAGAACATGAGGGAGCGTACAAGGATGTAGAGAAGGATATGAGCAGGTGAGGAAGCAATTAAGGATGTAAAGGAGGAAATGAGGAGCCGAGGAAGCATTTTAGGATTTGTAGGAGGAAATGAGGAGCTAAGGAAGCAATTGATGATGAAGAGAAGGATATGAGGAGGTGAGGAAGCAATTAAGTATGTAGAGAAGGATATGAGGGGGAGAGGAAGTAATTAAAGATGTAGACAAGGAAATGAAAAGGTGAGGAAGCAATTTAGGATGTCAAGGAGAAAATGTGGAGGTGAGGAAGCAATTAAGGATGTCAAGGACGAAATGAGGAGGTGAGGAAGCAAATAGGGATGTAGAGAAGGATATCAGGAAGCAATTAAGGATGTAGAGAAGGATATGAGGGGGAGAGGAAGCAATTAAAGATGTAGAGAAGGAAATGAGGAGGTGAGGAAGCAATTAAGGATGTAAAGGAGGAAATGAGGGGGTGAGGAAGCAATTAAGGATGTAAAGGAGGAAATGAGGGGGTGAGGAAGCAATTAAGGATGTAGAGAAGGATATAAGGAAGTAAAGAAGTAATCAAGGTTGAGGATATACAAAGGATGATGAGGATGCATAAAAGGCCAGAAGGAGGTATGGAAGGACACAGGGATAAATTAAGGAAACCATTAAGAGAAGAGAGAAAATAGTGAATGATTGAAAAGGAGGCTTGTGTAAGAGTTTACACACACACACACACACACACACACACACACACACACACACACACACACACACACACACACACACACACACACACACACACACACACACACACACACACACACACACACACACACACACACAGTGATGCAGGACGACTGGGCAGTCGAGCAGCGACTTTAAATTCTCTCTGTCGTCTGAAAAATCACAAACGTTCAAAGACCTGAAGCATCAAAGTGTCTCCTCGGAATAAACAGGCGTCTTAAGGGCCGCCACGTGAATCCACCAGAGAAAAAGAAACTATTATACTGTTTCAAACCGAGGGAACAGTAAAAGAATTGTTCAAGAGTTAGATCCGGATCACACTGATCCTTGATGATAAAAGTACAACTGGACTAGTACAGACTGTTAAAGATGACCTAATCCAGCTCTCTAATTGAGACTATGCAAAGCAGACTTTGTCCACAGGGGGCGCCAACATCCACACACCGCCAACCTTTCTAAGCGAGCTCTGGTGAAACATGGACGAAGGCTGAGGGACATCACCCATCTGTTCCTGCAGGGGCGTGGAGTCCCATCGATGGCGGTTTCCATGCTGGAAATGCTGTCTCAGTCTAACTTTCAGTCAACCTAACAACAGACTGAGAGCTGGAGCTGAGGCGGGCTTTAAACCTCCTGACAAACTGTTACACCGTGCCCGCCTGTCAATTAGGTCAGCTACACGCCTTATTGTGAATAACTCTTATCCTTCATCAAATCAAAACTGATGAGTCATCAAAACATTCCCCCCCCGTACAGTGTGTGTCGATCGAGACATGAGCTAATCAGACCTATTTGGTTTTTTGAACCAGGCTGTAAACATGCTCTCTGCTGTAAAAACAGGCTTTTTAGAATGGGTGTGTATTTGACTTCCTGTGCTTCTGCAGCCAGCCTCCAGTGGACACTCGAGGAACTGCAGGATTTTACATTTCATCATCGGCTTCACTTTCTAACAACACTGGAGGTTGCCGCTTGGGTGAGAAGCACTGTGACACTGTGCCTGGGTTCGGGTCCAACCTGTGGCACCATCCCCCCCCCCTCTCTCCCTGACTCTATCCTCTGTCCTATCTCTAAAATCAACCTTATTTAAAGAATTGAGGACACATTGCCAACGTATTTCTGTAATTAAGACAGTGAGCAGGAGTTTGTCTACAATTTATGCCTTGAAAAAAAACAAAATGACAGACTGCTGAGGGTCTAGGACTTTTTTTGTTGCCATGGTATCAAACAGGTATATATATATATATATATATATATATATATATATATATATCTCTCTCTCTCTCTCTCTCTCTCTCTCTCGATTGCTTTAAACCAGAAGTTTGAAAATCTGGTACCACAGTGTTTTGGAAAGTGAAGCATGAGCTCTGCAGCTATAAGCAAAAATATCCTCTGCTGTGCTCATAATGCATCCTGCTGATATTCGTCAACGTGTGCTGCAGATCTTTAATCACAAACCGAGAGTAAACGGGGTCAAACTGGTCTGGTGTTGTGTTCACTGACACTTGAAAAATGAGGAAGCCAGTTAAAGAAACACGGGGTCCACGTGGCCTCCGGTTCACCTCAAGAGTGTTCGTGTTGAAACGGCTGAATATAAACACACCTAAAAGCGAATCACTGACCATGTGAGCAATGATCGACAGGAGTGACCTCTGACCTCTGCTCCTGTTTGAGGCTCTCACTTCTCAGAATCATTGAGATGAGATCTAAAATTTAAAACACCTCCACAGCTGAATTCAGGTCAAACACATTAGCATTTTGTAGGGTAGTGCTGTTGCCATGGTTACCTGTGTTTTCGTGTGCTTTGCTGTGAAACAATGGTGAAACAGCAAGTCCACATTTACACAGCTGATCAGAGCACATCACAGTGACACCGGCGCCACCATAAGGTCGACATTTTAGCGGTTAAAAAAAGTTTGAAACTTTTAAATAACTTTTCCTTTGAAAGTCGTTTTTTTTTATTACGGCTACAAGAAAGTTTGAGTTCACCGTCGGTTTGTTTCTTATTCAGAATCAAAGAACATTTTCAACAACAAGCCATAAAAACAGTAAATGACTGTTTGAGCAGCAGTCACTCAGTCTGTAGGGACCTCGGCTGGAAACCAGACGGTCGCCGGTTCAAGTCTTGATGCGGACCAAAGTCTGGAGGTTAGTCTGCTGGAGAGGTGCCCAGCTTCCCTTCAACAACGTTACTTATAATATTTCTCCTCCTCCTTAACAACTGCATGTCAAAAAACTTTGAGATCATTTTGGCGAGCTGTAATGTCACAGTGATGTAGCTCAGACAAAAATAAAACAATGGTTATTGTCTTTGCAGCACAATGATGAAACTTCAACAACCAACAACATTTTTTTAAACTTCAGATTAACAGCAACACAGCAGGAAAAGTCGTCAAGCAAACCCTAAAAAAAAAGTCACATTTGAAACGGGACGTGTCTTGTTGTGGAGGCCGCCATGAAAGAGTCTTCATGGCAGACACGACATGTTTATCGTTGCCGTGGAAACACCGTATGTTACATCAAAGACCGCTGCTACTGAAAGCTGCCGTACTGTTGCTGTATGTGCTTCTGTGATAAAAACGTCATGTAGATTATACTCGGATACATTAGCTCGTCTGTAAACATATTCTCTAACTCAGGTCAGTTTCACCTGGTTGACTACGGAGGACGTTTTCATCTGGGGTGGTGGGTGGGGGAGTAGCAGAGAAAATCACTCCCACGACTCCCCGCCAGCCTCAACATCATCTTTTGTTATTGTTTTGATTGAGAGCCCCCTGGTGGTGGGATTTACACACTGTGCCTTTAAGTCTCTAATTTCTCCTCATCTTGAACCTCTGCATCTTAAAAAAAATCTTCACTGAATTGATTAAAACCTTTTGGGAGCTTTGACATCACAGTGATGTCACGTGATGTTACTACCGTGCAGCTCATACATGACATTAAACTCGTTTTGAGTTGTATGTCAACAAACCACTCAATCATTGGAATCATTTTGGCGAGATGTGATGTCACAGTAACAATGTAAATGTGTTCTTCACAGGCTCAGGTGTAGCGTGATGACTTTATGTTTCACTCCAGGTTATTGTGGACTTTTTGTAAACACTGGCGATCAACTGAGCGAGACAAGTTGTCAACCAGACCCCGTTCAGAAAACGTCATATTTTCACTACAATGCTCTTAAATTCTTCTCGTTTTAAACGACGGCATGTAAACGAACCAAGACCAAAACATTTCATAATTTGGGGGAGCTGTGATGTCACAGTGATGTCACTACAGTGAAGCTTGGACAAGAAATGAACTCAAAGACCCCGAAAGTGAGTGATGAGATCATTCAGCCGTTTACACACACACACACACACACACACACTTACCATCCAAAGCCTCCGAACGACACGCTCCTCTTCCTCCTCAGCATGGTCTCTCTCTCGCCCGCTCCTCCTCTTTGTCTTCCTTTTCCTCTTATTGTGTCTGGTTTTCCTTTCTCTCGCTCTCCCTCTCTCGTCTCTTCTCCCTGTCGTTCTACCTCCTCATCTCTCCACCTATAAATACTCCCATCCCTGTCAGACACCCTCCTTTACACGCTCTCGCCGCCTCCCTCCCTCCCTCCCTCTCTCTCTCTCTCTCTCCCTCTTTGTCTACCTCGCTCGCTCGCCCTCCTCCTGCCGTTAATGTTTCCCTCTCACTCCCACTTCAATTCTCTGCACGCCGCCAGGAGAGAGAGAGAGGGCGAGAGACTTAAAGAGAGAGTGGAGACGGAGGTATCCGCGGTGTCCTCTCTCGGCCGGCGGATGAAAACTTACCATCCATAATGAATGGATGTAAATGTGCGCGTTACTTTTCTGGATGTTGTTACGTAATGGATCAGTCGGACGCTGCAGCCGAACATTTCTGTGTTTCTCTTTCTGCCTGGAGAAATATCCTCTGGCTCGATTTGATGCGTTAAAAACAAGATAACTGTCGTAACATGATTGTCCCAAAGCTTGAATGAGTGAGCTGAAACTCCTCTCGTGTTAACAGTTTATTTTAATAATTACTATTTAAAAAGTAAAGAGAAGCAAAGCCATGTGGTGCAGCGGATCACTTATCTAACAGGTCAGATTTTAAGTTCCTCTTCAGCTCAGCCAATAAACAAAAAGAGTCTGATTAATCGGCCGGCCGATATTTATTATTTATTTTCATGGTTGTAAATGTTTCAGCGCACTGTTGTTATTCTAACTAATAAAGACTTTTGCTCAACTATAAAAAAAAAGATTTGTCCCGGGCTGATGGCCTATAGAGTCTAGACCCTGGTGGTGGTGGTGGTACCCCCCCTGATGGAGTCTAGACCCTGGTGGTGGTGGTGGTGGTGGTGGTGGTACCCCCCCTGATGGAGACTAGACCCTGGTGGTGGTGGTGGTGGTGGTGGTGGTACCCCCCCTGATGGAGACTAGACCCTGGTGGTGGTGGTACCCCCCCTGATAGAGTCTAGACCCTGGTGGTGGTGGTGGTACCCCCCTGATGGAGTCTAGACCCTGGTGGTGGTGGTGGTACCCCCCCTGATGGAGACTAGACCCTGGTGGTGGTGGTGGTACCCCCCCTGATGGAGACTAGACACTGGTGGTGGAGGTGGTACCCCCCCTGATGGAGACTAGACACTGGTGGTGGAGGTGGTACCCGCCCTGTTGGAGTCTAGACCCTGGTGGTGGTGGTGGTGGTACCCCCCCTGATGGAGTCTAGACCCTGGTGGTGGTATCCCCCTGATGGAGTCTAGACCCTGGTGGTGGTGGTGGTGGTGGTACCCCCCTAAGGAGTCTAGACCCTTGTGGTGGTGGTACCCCCCCTGATGGAGTCTAGACCCTGGTGGTGGTGGTGGTACCCCCTGATAGACTCTAGACCCTGGTGGTGGTGGTGGTACCCCCCTGATGGACTCTAGACCTTGGTGGTGGTGGTGGTACCCCCCTGATGGAGTCTAGACCTTGGTGGTGGTGGTGGTACCCCCCCTGATGGACTCTAGACCCTGGTGGTGGTGGTGGTACCCCCCCTGATGGACTCTAGACCCTGGTGGTGGTGGTGGTACCCCCCCTGATAGAGTCTAGACCTTGGTGGTGGTGGTGGTACCCCCCCTGATGGACTCTAGACCCTGGTGGTGGTGGTGTTAGAAGAATACGGGATGTGATGAGGAGTGGGTTTCTGAAGCTGGATCTTAACTCTGCTGAGCTGGACTGGGGGTGACCGGGGTGGAGGAGGGTCGCAGCGATTGCACTGAAATGACAAACTGACTGTGGAAGAGAGAGAGAACAGGTTTTAAAATGAGACCGTGGCAGGATGATTGGTCGAGAGGTGTTGGTTTATAGGGTTGGATTATTACTTAAAGAGTAAACGCCCCAGATCAGCTGATCACCAGAGCAGAGAGAGGGAGGGGCTAAGATGAAGGAATGTGTGAGAGAATATAAACACTCTTCTTGCTTGAACTTACGCTGAGCTCAGTTTAAAGGAACGCAGAAAAGCTAAAATCTTTATTTATCTATCTCTTCAAGTCGAAAGGTAGATCTAAGAAAGATATCGACCGATGTATCCTATCGGCCTCACATCGGTCGAGTCCTAGATATTTATAATCCAACTCTCCTCCTCCTCCTCAGCCCGCCATGACTCAACAGTGCATCTTAACATCAATACAAATCTTAATGACCTCCATAGGGGCACCAGATAGCATAGAGTTTACGTCGCGTACCCCATGCAGAGAGGCTATGGTCCCCGTCACAGCGGCCGTGGGTTCGGGTCCTGCCTCAGCCCTTTGCTGCATGTTTTCCCCCGCTTTCTCCCCCCAAACACTTCCTATCCATCTTCAGCTTTCCTCTTGAATAAAGGCACACAAAAAATAACCTCCATGAATCCTAATAAACACATCCTCGAGTTTCTTCACTAAAGACTCATCGCAGTGAGATAAACCTGAACTCTCTTAATTTAGAAAGTGCTTCAAACATGTGAGAGACTGTGATATAAGAAGCTGATCATTTCTATAACTGCAGTGTTTCCCAAACATGGATGACGCTCGGGCGAGCAGCCAAAGTTTATTTGTGACCATTTTGACTTATTCATAAAACTTCTGCACGCAAGAGAGAGAGTGAGAGAGGGAGAGAGAGACAGTGAGAGAGAGTGAGAGAGAGAGGGAGAAAGAGAGTGATGGAGAGAGAGAGAGAGGGAGAGAGGGAGAGAGAGAGAGGTCCGCTGTTTGTACGTCCCTCCCGTTATGCGCTGACTGAGGTCCAGCGCTCATGATAAAGCTGAAGCTTTTCTGCCTTCTTTTCAATAATTGCTTATGCTTGCCACGGATGATGTCATGCAGCCTTAGTTTAAAGAGCCCATATTCTGCCCTTTTTGGGGTTCGTATATTTAATCTATGTACCTACTAAAGTATGTTCACAATAGCTAAAGTTAGAAAAAAAGTGTCTGTTTTCATGTACTGCCGCTCCATGCACCGGCTCGCTTCTGACTCTCTCTCTAAGACTCTGAAGTGCCCACATTCAGAGTCCCCACGTGTGCCAAGTCTGATCTGATTGGTCGGCCTGTCGGCTCTGCCGTAATTGGTCAGTCGCTCAGCCGAGCGTTACATGCAGCTAATGCTGCAGCTAACAGGAGGACGTAGGAGAAGCCGCGTTTCCACGGACTTTGCCTAAACATGCACAGGACACTTGGAAAACACACTAAAGCGCATATAAAACCAGAAAAAGCATAATATGGGCCCTTTAAGATTATATTTGTGATGTGCGTCATCATCAGTTAGCCTCCTGATACGAAGGTCAGCTGTTGTTATAATGGAGTGGATCAATTCAAAGACTTTACAGCAAAAAAACAAAGCTACAGAAAACAGCTGGTGCGAGTGTGTGTGTGGATAAGAGAATAGAAGGGAATGTAAGTAAACGGTAAATGGACTTCAGCTTGTACCATCCTTTTCTAGTCTTCTGACTACTCAAAGTGCTCTTAAACCGCAGGTCACACCTACACAGTCACACACTGATGGTAGAGGCTGCTGCGTAAAGAGTCCATCAGTATTAACTCATCCATTCATACACATTAACACACCGACGATGAAGCAGCGGGATCAACCTGGGGTTAAGTGTCTTGCTCAGGGACACATTGGACATTTAGCTGCAAGAGCTTGGGATCAACCCCCTGACCTTCTGGTCGAGAGATGCGCTACTACCACTGAGCAACAGCCGCCCCAAAAGTAGGACGAGCAGATTTAAGTTGTTTGTTACACAAATAAGTTGGAGAATAAGTTGTGACACTTTACACATTGAAATGTATGTTTGAATATTTTTGGATGAAAACAGATTATTCTTGTCCGCATGCAGACGGAGGTTCGTTCTGCTTTAAACTTCAGTTTGGTATTAAGACATTTAAAGCAGCTGGACTCGTCTGTTAATACATCACTGAGCTGTGAAGGAACATGTCTGTTCACCAGAGAAAAAGAAAAGCTCATTTCATTTCTACAGTCATTGTTTTTAATTCAGTCTTTATAAAAGATATTTATGAGGCGCAGCAAATAGCTGTGACGTGTGTTTGTGTATGTGTGTGTGTGTGTGTGTGTGTGTGTGTGTATCCTCAGCTGAATACATTAACATCTAATTAGTGTTGAGGAGATAATGATGAACAGGATTAACAGAGAATGAAGTGTGAGATGTAATAATCACATTATTCACACACAGTGAGCGCCCCCTACAGGCTGCAGAGTTAATTACAGCTACAACACAACACACATACAATCTTTAGAGTCTAACCTGCAGAGAGGCTCAAAACTCACGACTTTAAAACTGAAAACCCGGGGTACTACATATCCCACATACTACATATGTCTGCTAATATCTTCAACAACTCTTCATCACGTTCTCCTTCGATCTGCTCCGTGCAGTGCGATAGCTCTGAAGATCTTCAGACACAAACACAGTTTTGCTCTTGTTTAGTGTGTGTATATGGAGAGAAGCTATCTGCACCTTTATTCTGTAAGGAGTTGCACTCTCATGCTGACAGAGCTCAGTTCTGTCCACATACCAATATGGCCGCGCATATAGTCGCTGCGACCAGTGCTCCGACCAGAATCTGCAAATTAGTTGTTATTTGTTTGTTTGTTTTGAGTGTTTTCACTAAATACAGTCTAGCATACATATCATATAGCCGACAGGAACTCCTTAACATCGGTTCATGCAACTCTGTCAACTTTATCAACGACCTCGGTACCACTTCTGAGATCCGTAAACCAGCGGGACAAACTACCGACCCTCCGCCAACCGAGAGACCTGTTGAGCGGTGTCAATGGAGGCAAGGCCGCGGCTCTCGTGGAGGCCTCAGAAAGAAGCTACGGCGTGACCCCCATAGGAGTCCCCTTCCGAGCATATTTCTCGCTAATGTCCAATCACTGGCGAACAAAATGGACGAACTACGGCTGTGGCTCACCACCAACAAACGGATTATGGACAGCAATCTCTTGATTATTACGGAATCATGGCTAAACACCATTACACCTGGCAACGCTATAATGCTAGTGGGACGCTGTCTTCTACGGGCAGA